TATTGGAGCTCACATACTTTAAGAGATTGTTTCGTGTCTTGAAACCTGTTCCCCCAATCGGCTGGAATCTCCCGATGCTGATTTCGAAGCGGGCACAAAATCTAGAATCCACCCAGACTTCTTGTTAATGAAAGATGCCACTGATTCGCACATCCTCCAGGCAAGCGAATTGATAATAGTTCTAATTGAGTCTGATCGATAAACAGAGTGCGTACGCCCTCGAAAAACTGGATCAGGATCAGTACGATCCGACACAATCATTTCCCCCGTGCTGGGATCTACAGATGTCTTATAAAAGTGACATCTGAGCTCACTTGTATTCTTTAAGCACTTCTTGTCGTCTAATTCCTGGCTGAAAATGAATTCGACCTGGTGGAAGATGGTTTCAAATAATTGAAAGACATTCTTAAAGCTGTTGTTCACCACGTATAAGCTTCTCGAGTATAAGCTTCTTGATAGGGCCATGTATTTCTTCAAGATTCCTCCACCCACCTGGATAGCTTGTCCGGTATAAGGGTGATCCTTCTGTACATGTAGATCTAGTTCATAGTTGGTGTGGAATTTCCTTGAGCACTGGGGACAAGTCTTGTCATTGTACATGGTCATATCTGGTACTTCTCGCCAACGTTTAGGGGGAGGAATAGCTCCATCCGATGGACGTTTGAGGCTGAAAGTTGAGCGAGTAGCATTGTACACGGGTGAAATGATACTTTTTGGGGTAAACTGAGACTGGGGTAATCTGAGTTTGGGATAATCTGAGATTGGGGCAACCCAATACTGGTAAACTAAGGCTAGGGTAACCTAAGACTGTGATAACCTAAGACTGGGGTAATCTGAGACTGGGGTTAACTGAGATGTGGAACTGAGACTGGGGTAATCTGAGACTGGGGTAAAGTAGGACGAAGATAAACTAAGATTGCGGTAGTCTAGGACTGATATAAACTAAGATTGTGGTAGTCTAAGCCTATGGAGGTTAGGTTACGTAACATCTCGGTTCCCCAACTCGTCAATGCCATATCCGTAGCGCTTTACGTTGCGGAGAAGGTTTGTGCAAATCCTACCTATAGTGTTGGACATAACATATACATACCTACTACTATCCACCCGGCTAAACTTACCCATACTTACTACTGCTACTTATAATAATAATAATCTCAAGTTTCTCATTACCTGTTTTTACTCGTACTCGCAAATGGTTCATCTTCTTGCATTACCTCTACAAATTTTGAACATTCACTTACACTGTGAGAATCTTGACACTTCTTTTCTTCTTCTTCGTCATTTCTTATTAAATTGACAACTTCTTCACATACACTTACACAATGAGGACCAAAACAAATGTTACATAATACACTGTGTATTTTGAAACACTTATTACACAATATTTCACAGTTGTGAGGTATCAAAACTTCTTTATTACACTGCACACAAGGTTCGACATGATTATTTCTTATGTGATTTTTGATATTACGAACAGTGTCACATTTTTCTTTGCACAATGTGCATTGATATCCACCAACCACAAGAGCTACGTAGTGTGAGATTCTCATCTTGAGACTGTAACGAAGATCAAAAACCGACTGACTAGCTCTCCAGCAAACGTTTTATTAAACGTCAGTGCCACTCCGCCGGTGTTCGTTGAAATTGTTTAGCTATTGTAACCCTTCGCTTCTCACCAAGCAAGACTTTTTTGCAAAATAGCTCATAAATTTTTAACCTTCTTGGCATGACATTCAAAATAATTTGTAGCTTGCTCCATAAACGTCAAACGTTTTTTTTTAAACGTCAGTGCAAGTGCACGTTCGCTGGTGGTCTTTGAAATTCTTTACTTATTGTAACCCTTTTCCTCATTTCACCATGCACGACTTTTTTGCACAAACGGATCATAAATTCTTAACCTTCTTGACACAACTTTCACGATAATTTGTGACTTGCATCATAAACGTCGTAATAAACGTTGATGCACTTTTTACGCTTCCTTGCAAACATTATGACCACCCTTTCATCTTCGTGGAAATTGTGTCAAAAACTTTAACACACTTTTTACCCTTCCTTCTAAACATTATGACCCCACGTCATATTGGTGGAATTTGTGTCTTGTCTCAGAAATGATGACACCCTTTTTTACCCTTCCTTGTAAAGATTATGACCCCTCATCTGGATGGAATTTGTGACTGGTGTCATAAACGTAGATGCACTTTTTTACCCTTCCTTGTAAACGATTATGACCCATCCTCTTTGATGGAATTGATGCCTTGTCTCATACACGATGATGAACTTTCTACTCTTTGTTGAGGGAATATGGGACAATAATGTTTACAACGTTATTGTCCCGCATTCTTGGAACTTGTATAACAGACGCTGATGCATGTTTTATCTTTCCTTCTTACAAATTGTCGCCGTTCATATTCCTGGAAATGTATAATAAACGTTGATGCGTCATTCTCTCACAACTTTGTTCAGTAGCTATTTCTGCTTCTTGCCACAAACTCTTCCACTCTCTCAAAAGTTTTTAAAAAATTACCAACTTTTTTAAAGTTCCAAACTTTAAAACTAAAAGAAAATCAACATGAGCGTCAACTTTTTGTGCACCCCCGACACGTCGGCTGAGCATCCGTTCGATTACGAAATCTTTGAAGAAACTTCTTCGTATTACTGTTCCAATTTCATGTGAGCATGGAGGAGTTCATGATTCTGACGAGATCACTTCGTAAGGAGAAGCCCCTCGACCGGAATCTCCAAAAAATCTACGATGACCTCTTGCCAGTAATGTCTCTACGGAGCTTGGATAATAAAATTGCGCGAATGCTCCACTCCTGCCATGATGTGGATGTAAGTTTTATATTATTAATATATTATTATATATATAAATACATTATATTATTATTCCTGCCTGAATCCTCTACATGCTCGTCTCGCCACTGTATCATACTAATAAATATTCTTTTTTTAGTTTTTCCGCAGCGTGGTGAATGCAGGTATCTTGGGAGGCGGTCGAGCCAATTCAATCGGATTGAATATCATCAAGGGGCTGAAGCTGCGCTATCGGAAGGAATTTACCCGTCATAAGGCTTGTCTCCAACAGGGTCTTCCTCTCTATGGCTATCGTGCTCCGTGGAATTTTGGACAAGACGCTGGAGACTTGCACCCCCGTCAACTCGACTTTTTTGCAGGCACCAGAAAAATCCCACCCCACGTCACTTTTGTCCCGACCTGGGCTTATAATGTGGACATCAAGGAGGATCGGCCCCATTTTAGAGGTGATCCTTCTTTCATGGTTCAAATTGCTCGTACTCCTTCAATCAGGATCATTGCAATTTTGCTTAACTTTCCTCTCGCTTATTTGCATATCATGAAGCAAAAAAATGTTTCTTACAATGAGTATGGATTACTCATTCTTGATCGGGATTCCGGGGCAGGGGTTTACCATAACCCATCTCATATACAGAGGGTTTGTTCCGCAGCTTTCGTGCGCTTTGTGGCAGATAGCGCCGCTGCATGTTTAAAGCAGAGTTTCTTTATCAGCGATGCTGGGAAACTTTCTGGGAAGCCTCACATTTTCCCTTACTTAAGACCCACTTTTGCAGGAACGGGAAGAGCGCTTGCTCTTTGGATTGATGCTTTCCAATCTCGGCTTCTGCTGAAGGGGGATGTAATTGACGCTCTGAAAACTTTTTTAAGGATAGATATGAACAAGGTGCTGTTCTTCGGGACAGTATCTCAAAAAAATATTATTTCAAATCTTCCTCGCTTGATAGAATTTTGGAACATGTCTGGACTATTACTCGTGTCCCTGATCGATGCAATGTCGTCAAACTCTTTGCTTTTGAGAATGACATTCCAGCATTTGGGGTACCCCCTCCTCCCCCTCCTCCTCCACCTGCTCGGAGGAGGAGAGCTTCTCCACCTACAGCTTCGCGCCGCTCTGAGCGCATCAAACAACGGAAACTTGATGCAATGATGGAAGAATGTGCAAAAACTTATTGAAAACTTTCAACTATTCTTCCTTCATTATTTTTACAAAACTCCTTGACATGAATCTCAAAATTGTAAAACCATTATTTTCCATGATTTTTGAAAATTTTTAGCAAAAGTTCTCATTTCTTTGTTGCAACTTAAAATTTTTAGCATTTCTTCATCTGATAAATTTTTAAAATTTAAATAAAAACCAATTCTAAGCATATTTTTTGTTGGCCATTATTTTAATGCATAAGGTATGCATACAAATACACCATGATGCACTCTAACTTTTTCATAAAATTTTATTGCACCATAAGACCCACCTTTCTCTCAGCAACCAATGCACCAGCAGGTTACAACTTACCCTTTATAACTTTATTGCACCAGTACCTCCTTTTCATCCTCCTTGAAGCATTGGGGTACCCATCAAGAACTCATTGGTATAACGAGCGAACTAAGGAGGAGCATCTAAAAATATATTGGCTGCTCTTCCAGACATTGGTGCTGTTAGTTCCTATCTCCCCAAGTTATGGGAGTAATCATAACCTTCTTTTGGCCCATAAGAAACTACATTGCATTGGGAGGAACCAATGGCTATCTCACCACGTCATGGGAGTAATAATAGCCTTCTTTAGACCCATAACAACATACATTGACCTCCAGGGGGAGGGGGCAAGTCCTATCTTACCATGCTATGGGAGGAATCACAGCCATAATTACTACTTCTCTAGTTCGACCTTTTTTTAAATCCAGACGTCGCAGGCGTTATTGATGTTAGAAAATCCAAATTTGATACAAATGTATATGATAACCTTTTGTGTCTCCAGTCCTCAAAATTTCAGGTAAAAATTACAAATAACGCTAGAGATATGTAAGTCTAAAAACCATTCAATTTCAAGCAATACACCCTCAATAAATAGATCTTTACCCTGGACTCTTCACTCACCTCAATAGCATAGCTAGTGATAATTCGAATTATAAAAGAAATTTAATTTTTAATGTATCTCTCAGCGCTGTCATAACAATGCCTTGGCGACAGACTACATTTCATTCTTCACTTAATAATACATTTTGGAAGACGTGCAGAACGGGTGGAATACCCTTTTCATCCCTAACTTTCAAAGTTACATATTTAGTAAACATTATTGGCGATGGATCTTTCTCCAAATGTTTAATTAATGACAATAAATATTCATTAACCAAATTCGTGAATGTAACAAAATCAACCATAGAAATAAAATCATTAGCAAGACGATCGCCTTTTTGTTGATTTCCTGATGATTTATTCTGAATTAGTTGAGAGTCTCAATTCGTCCACCACCGTGGCAAGGTAGTATTAGTCTAATGCCAAAATTGGGTTGTTACTGCGCAGTAATAGACGTATTTATCCACCAGCAATGTAGAGTCATATACATACCATAATTTTATTACCGCGTGGTAATAAAATTTCTTAGAGTGTAAGAAAAGAGAAAAATTCCAATCCGTGACCTAATCACACAAAACTGGAAGGGTGTTGGAAATGGGATAATGTCCGAGGGAAAAACTTCAAAAAAGCTTAAAGCTTGATGTTTCAATGTCCACTGTTCATTGCATCATCATTGCATCTTTGCATCATCCAAAACCACAAGAAGAATGTACTCGAAGAGAAGAAAAAAATCTGAACTCCAAGAGAAAACACAATCTTGGTTTGTAATCCTAAGTGCTCCAAAACTGTCGGGTATTATGAAAAACGAAACATTCGTACGTAATTACAATCAAGTCGTATTCACCACAATGCTACGTAATTAAAAAAGTAATAAAGTTCATTATATAGTTGTCAATTTCCTGCCACAAAGTTAGAACAATTCAAATCGCGTCATATCCTCAATGCTTCATACAAGAAACAAACAAATCGCATCATAATTCGATGATTTTATTACATCCTCTGATTTAATAACCGCTAACTTGCCACATTTTGGTCTTGAGTTGTTGTCCAATATTACACATTCTGATTTTTTGCTGGCTGCATCGTTTGCAAAGGTCGTAAATTTTGTGGTCGTAAATTTTTGCTTGGTGAGAATTGTTAATATAATGCTAAGATATTTCAATCTGACAAGGGAACATACCGAGGTGTCCAACGAGTTAAGGGTCGACACCTATACCAAAATGACCACAATACATGACTTATTAAACAAACTGAAGGAATTTCCGTGTAAAATTCACTTTTCGTCACGTTGTGACGATATTTGTGGCGACCGCATGACCATCGGGTTGCCAGCGGGAGAGGTCGGCCGCTGAACGATCAGGTCGAACACAGAGAAGCGTCGTCGTATTCAGAGATTTCAAATGCTTTCAAATTTTGAAAACATCTTGAAATTTTGGAAAAAATTTTGAGAAATTTTTGAAATTTTGAGAAATTTTTGAAATTTTGAGAAATTTTTGAAATTTTGAGAAATTTTTGAAATTTTGAGAAATTTTTGAAATTTTGAGAAATTTTTGAAATTTTGAGAAATTTTTGAAATTTTGAGAAATTTTTGAAATTTTGAGAAATTTTTGAAATTTTGAGAAATTTTTGAAATTTTGAGAAAATTTTGAAATTTTGAGAAATTTTTGAAATTTTGAGAAAATTTTGAAATTTTGAGAAATTTTTGAAATTTTGAGAAAATTTTGAAATTTTGAGAAATTTTATGAAATTTTGAAGAAATTCTTGAAATTTTGAGAAATTTCAAGATGTTTTCAAAATTTGAAAGAATTTGAAATCTCTGAAGACGACTTGAAGACGACATTTCTCTGTGGTCGACCTGATCGTTCAGCGGCCGACCTCTCCCGCTGGCAACCCGATGGTCATGCGGTCGTCACAAATATCGTCACAACGTGACGAAAAGTGAAGTTTACACGGAAATTCCTTCAGTTTGTTTAATAAGTCATGTGTTGTGGTCTTTTTGGCATAGGTGTCGACCCTTAACTCGTTGGACACCCTCGGTATGTTCCCTTGTGAGTATAATAAAGTGCAAAGTTTTTCACTTAATTGACACAAATAATTTTTTGGGGCAGGATTACAGACCGTTTTTATTGTAAGCGGGAGCTCTGACGTCACGGAATTGTAAATTGTCTATACATATAGTCCACCGCAGATTTCGACTATCCCTTAGCATTCCCAACCTGCATAAAATAACAATAATATTAACTGATTACAGGAGGAGGAGATTGCAGGTAATTAATGCCGGGTTTGGATACCCTTTGGAAGCATGTTGTAGTACTCGGTGAGGGTAGAAAAAAAATGAGGGGTTAACATTTATGAACCAATTTCAAGGCTCGTAAAACATCATCAAAAATCCAATTTTGCTTAGATTTTTAAAATTTTTACGTTATTTCATTTTCAAATTATTATCCTATAATATATGTACATATATAGAAATTTCGGGCTTTTTGAAATTTTCAGTATTTTCGAAATTTTCTAAAGGGTTTACATTAAAACAAGTTGAAATTACAAAACAGTATGAATATGATAGATCAACTATTTGGGATGAAAATAAGCTGAACTTTTCATAACCTGAGCAAAATTAGATTTTTGGCTGCAGACACACATGAGAAAACGGCTTGTTTGGCATCTTTATGTGGGTGTGGCGGTCGCAAGGTGCCCCATATAGTTAAAACCTCTTTAATTTTATCTGCATACTTTCATCGAGTATCTACTACAACATACCCAAAGGGGATTAAAACCGCCTACTGACAAAGTGACAGCATTCGTCTCTGACAACCTTACTGCAAGATGGAAGTCTTCGCAATCACAATAACAACCATTGCCAGTATTGGTCGTTTTACTCCGGCAAGTATAAAAACAAATTGAATTTTTGCAGCATATTTTAAGCCAAACTTCTTTAAAAAGTCATTAATTTTTATTGTCACAGAGGGCCAAAGCTATGTGTTTATGAATTGCAAAACTTGGGACAGCGATTGCAGAACTGACAAACACTATGCAGCGAAAGGATACCCTGATCGTACGAATTTGTATATCATCTTAACACTAGAGTGACTCCACAAGATACTAATGATACTTAGTTCTAAATCGTCTTAATTACAATCCAAAATCCATGTTTACTGCGTAACATATTTTGTATTTATGTAAATGTTTGTTTACCTATATATCTTAGGTAAAAGAGTTCCGCAAAAGTGCGGCAGTGCTGGTGGCTGCGGTAATGAAAACAATTGGTGCGATGGACGACGGTGGTGTAATACCAGCATTAACGAGTGTGTCTGTACTGGAGAAAAAAAATTACCTGACCAATACAGTGGACGTCATGGTAGTATTGTAATGAATGCACCTATAAAGGCAAAATTGAACATTGTTAAAGATGTAACCAATGTAAGACCCCTCTAATTAGAATCAGGATTTGGCTTTACTGTTAATCAATCATTTGATTAAAGTCAAATTGATACATACGTATGCGAATATGTAGGAATTCGACTGCCATGATATGCGATACATCAGTTGCAATATAACAATCGAGAAATGCAAGTGTATATATGAAAATCTGACAGAAGTTGAGGGTAATCGGAGTTTTAAAACATGGGTATTACTAAGAATTTCTGAAACTTTTAAATGACAGAACTTATTTGTTTCATAGGAAAGATGTTTCCCGAATTCAATGTGTCTGACGGTATGATCAGTCTTAAAGTATGTAATGTAGTAAATACATATTTTTAAAAATTTAGGTTTAAATTTGACTACACTCTAAGGAACCCGGTAGCAAAATTATTACTAGGCGGAGTATCTATGTGACTCTACCGCATGGTAATTTATTTATTATTGAGTAGTAGACATTTTGTGACCAAACCGGTAATAACCTTGGTCGCGAAATTTGAAAATATCTATTACCAGTTGGTAACTAATTTTCTAACACTCAATAATAAATTAATTACCGTCCGGCAGAGTCACATATAGTAGTCAGATACTCCGCCTGGTAATAACTTCGTTACCGGGTTTCTTAGGAGGGGAGCTTGCGAGGTTGATAATAACAGATCTTGGTGCCCTTTGGATATGTGGTAGGGACCCATGAGTGTACTAAAACCCTGAAGTAGTTTGACTCCATAGCCACATTTGCGCCCGCCACACCCACTCAAAAATGCCCAAAAAACGCTTTCACTCGAGTTTTCACTCACTCAAATCCACGTCAAAAATCCAATTTACTCGGATTTTGAAATTTCTTTCACCATTATACTCCCAGATAGTTGCTTTCTTCAATCCAATATCTCGGGTTTGCCGCGTTTTCAAACTTGAATATTTCTGGCAAGGACTTGAATTTTAGACTAATTTTTGGCAGACTCGAAGACAACACACTCGAAAAGATATTTCCAGAATTTTAAAGTGATACCTTCAAAAATGCCCCCTCCAGTGCCCCCAGAGTTGGAGGGTGCGGTGAAAACACTTTCCAAACTTAATTATTCGTATAGCATGATAATTAAGGAGGTCAAAGGTCAGGGATTTTCAATATCCAAACGTTCGATATATAATATTTTGAAAAATAAAGGAATCCGACGTGAAGCACATGCTGCTGGACTTCCACCACCCCCAATAAAGTGCCCCCTAAGAGTGCTAACTCCGACCGTTTTGAGAAAAATTGACCTTTTGACCTCAAAAGAAAGCCCACCAAGTCAAAGACAGATTGCACGCAAAGTCAAGGTGTCACAGTCGACTGTAAAAAATGCAATAAAAGTTTTGAAGAAAAAACTGAGGAGGAAGACCCGAGTCCATCAGCTGACCGAGAAGCACAAAAAAAATCGGCGACGAACTTGCAAAAATTTTTATTCAAATTATTTGACAAAAGGAAAGAGTGAATTTGTTGTGTCACTTGATGAAGCATTATTTTCTTTACAAGATGTAAACGGAAAAAGAAAAGTTTACTACGATTTAGTCAACCAAAAAAATCCTTCAAGGTGGGCCTTCCAGCACAAGGAGAACTTTTGTAAAAAGTTTATGGTTGTTGGTGCAATATCTGGTCGTGGGGTCCTGCCTCTAATCAAAGTTCCCCAAAAAGTAAAAATTAATGCAAGGTACTATGTTGACTGTGTGCTAAAACCACTTTTAGAAAAAGTTGTGCCAAAACTGTACGGCAAGGACACTCCAAAAGTCGTAGTCCATCATGACGCCGCAACCTCGCATACCGCTAAGTTGACCCAAGCTTATGCAAAGGACCTATACAGAAGGCTCGGGATAAAAATTATTTCCAATAGTGAAATACCTGTTAAGTCTCCCGATGCAAGTCCCATG